GAAGAACGCTTGATTATGTCGGTTTCGTTACAATATCTGAATCCGTATTCACCACTGCCTGATTGACGCGTAGACTTTTCGGCGTTGTGGTATCCCATGGCTAGCAAAGAAACTGATTTACATCCCCTCAGAATACATCTTATATTGTGATGGCCTTAATATTCCCCGTGTGTCTTTACTCGTTAGAATGCACGGTCAGTTTTAACCACCCTTTGAGTGACAGTGGATCTTTTGGCATTTCTAGTACCAAGTAAATGTTGCATAAACAGTAGAGAGTTTTACACATTACAACTGGGTGTGAATCTCCGCTGATACGACTGATCAAAAGCATTGGAGTGAACGTTATCACACAGCTGGTTTCGTAGTCTGCTTTCTTGAGACATAGCCTAGTCTAGACTTTGCGTGTCAGCATGTGACGTCCACTCGTGAACTTCCGTGTTAACGATCCTACGGGGAACATAAAACCAAGAGAAGAGAGTACTAGCTGCAACAGTGTCTTCCAGAAAATAAACTTCTCAGTCAATGCAGTTGCTGACACTAAAGCAGTCCCGTTCTTCTCGAGCGCTCAACTACAGAATGTCATATTGTGTTAGGCTATCAAAGTCGATGTTATGATGTGCTAAAAAGGAGTAACCAAGACTTATAAATTGTTTTGATTGCTTGCCTCTTTTGGTACTGAGATCCATTGAGGAATTTGATATCTCTGGAGACGTGCTCATTTCGTGGGCCGCAAACAAGTCCAACGGGACCTGATTAGCGGATAAGTGTATGGTTTGCATCGAATGCTAGAGTTAGCTGATGGCTCACGTTCTTGTCCAAGGTAACCTTATACTTCTGGTAATACCAAGAGCTGAAATGGAAGCATTTCTTTAGAAAGTGACAACGATGTCGCCATTCAACTTTTGTTTGCCACCAACAGATCATCCAATAAACCAGGGAAACTGATTGGAGAAAAACCGCCAAGTGAAAGGTATTTTTGATATCTCTTCAGCCGGATGAATATACAGGATACAAAAAAATCAGAGTTACGGTAAAATGCAGTGACCAAAGGTCAACTAATGACTATCTAAAGACTGCCATAAGATAGAACACCCATGCGTAAGGTTCACTTAACAACTCACAAGACGGATGCTAGCGCTTATTTTGCTACTGCAAGGAGGTGAAATAGTCGTCTAACCTGTGGGACACCCAAAAAATATTCGCAAGTGAAACCCATGCAAGCGGAATTCTTTTCGCTCGGTACCTTAGACCAATACCAACCTAATGAAATCCGACTGCACTGTCCAGAAAAACAGTGAACTTACCTGACCACAAACTAGACGATACCAATTTACCGACTGCTTCAACGTCATCAATTTAAAACACCTTTTCTTTGGAGAAGCACAACAAGTAACTTCCGTAAAACCACTTGTATCATTAGCTTACATTCAAAGCCTCAAATTGAAAATAAGAGAACAAAGCGGTTTAGTGTGGGATCTAGTACTAGCCCATTGCAAACAGCGTGGAGTGCCTACCCCTCCAAGTGCTCAATCAGACAACCTGGAAATAAACTGACACATTCGACACGGGATTAGCGTACAAACAGAAACAAATTGTTGTCTGGCTATTCTCTGCACGGCAAAGGACAAATAAATGTGCCGATGTTTGGGGTTGGATTAGTGACTTCAAATATGTACGGCTACGGTTCAATAAAAGGGAGTAAATGCTGCCACCGGTGATAATAGAGAACGAGAAAAAGAGCTCCAAGTTGGCTCTTGTGGTGAGTGATGGACAAAGAAATAAATAAACTGAGGACTTGCTCATCTAATGTACTCTGAACGGTGATGGAGGCACTGATAAGGGTAGACAATACCTGGTGATGTGTCATTATTTTGGTATCTTTTGTGTGGTTTCTATTGATGGTACGGCTGAAGAATCATGGTATACCAAACGTATGATCATATATACATAAATCCCATAAAGTCTGTCAGGCGAAGTCACTTTATTCAATATCCCAACTACAGAGTGTCACTGAAATCCTCCTCATACAATGTACTTTTCGAGGGTAAATATCTGGTACCGGTCTTTACCAGCCAGTTATAAGTTAAATGAATAGCCCAGGCAGAGCTGAATAGATAACCATCAGAACGCGGCAAGATACACTCTGTTTCTGACCTCCGTGCGCCTAGCTTGGTGAGAGCTATGCATCAAAAAATATTTCAGCCATCCTTTCCCTGGGAGCCGTCTTCTAACGAAGCCATGCGATCAGTACAGAATCAGCAAGAAGACTGGAATTCCCTGATTACGGTCAATCGGTGTGTTAGAACGAATCCTTAGGGGCTTAGGTTGATGTTCAAATAACAAGCATAAATGAATTTTCATTCCGCATGTATTAGCTTTTTTCTAAGGTACATATAATGTACTAATGCCATTGGACACGAATGACCTGCAACAAACCAGACAGTGCCGTATTCCACAAACAAACATTGATTTTTCAGCCAATGACGGTCGATTGGAGGGATGTTTAAATGTTTCGTCTTGGGCAGCCCAGAATGGTATGTAACGTTGTCATGTACCTCCCTGTCATTGTTGTTTATTCTATCTTGCTGAATTTTTCGCCACTTACCCTCTCTCTGAAAGAGGTATATTCCTATGCATTCTTTCAGAATGCATGATTACAGAATGAACCAACATTAAGTGTGACATTGAACATTTTCCTTTGAAATGTAGGGGATTATTAATTGGATCACAATGGACAGAGGAAATGATATGTTGTTCGGTCTTGGATTTTTTCGTCATTAAAGCTAAACCACAAGGTTCTGCTAAGCCAGGTCTAAAGCTAGCTTAGAGCTATCTAGCATTTTTCTGGAGATAAAGACGACCGATTAAGTGATTTGTGGTTGTTTTGTAGCTTAATACGGTTCAGGATGTAAACAATACACGGGAGTTTTTAAACTGAACTTGGGTTGAATAGCACTTCCAGAGATAATAATTCAATAAAGTGGGTGTAGAATGTTCCAAACATCTCAAAATTAAGTCACTCTGATTCACCCTGGCATGATCGCGTGGGTGAAGTACTTTTAAAGCTGCGGTAACTGGGTTTTTATTGACTGCCTCACACATTTCCCTTCTTGTGTTCAGGTTTGGTATACATTTACGTGCATACGACCCGGTACATCCTGCTACAAATCTGTCTAGAGAATAAGCTAAGAGATTTGCCATGGATGACGAATGGATAAATACTTTTATTATCTCGTCTTGAGTAAAGTTAGTTGACATGGAACAGCTGGCGTAATTTCAGAGTCACTTG